CAAAATAATAATTTCTTAAATAACTTGGTTAGCAAAAAGGAACGAAAAGTGGAACGAGTTCTTATTTTAGGAAATGAACGGGGAACGGAACGAGTTCCGTTTAAAAAGGAACTTTCCCAACACTGTGACCTATGTACTATACTATTATACTATTGTACTACACTATTAGTGATCTTTTGACTTCTCTGAGAAGAAATCCATGGCTGTACGAGCCTGTTAATGTAATTTATATATAGACATTTAATTTAGGTGTTATATTTAAACAAATGTTTAGATAGCTATTCGAATTGAGCAAAACAAAACAATTACAAATTTCTAAAGACATTTTTCTATTATTTTATAAAGTGTTTTGTCTTAAAATATTCAATCTCTGTGAGGCTCTATTTAGGCTCGTTTTGGTGCAAACAAAATGTATTAATAAACGCTCACCTCCAGGATTTCCAGGTCTTCCGGCTATGACTGAAAAAAAAATTAAGATAATAACAACAACAATAATGATTAAAAGAAAACACACACACACAGTAAATTTCTCCACTCCGCAGAAAAACACATTGAATCATATTTTATATGTTTTTGGAGGTTGTAATTTGCTTGGGCGCCATCTAGTGGTAAAAAAACCACCGGTAGATCACGTCACACTAAACAATTTTCCGTCACTCGAATCGGTTAGGGGTCATTCCACGTGAAATCACCTAATGGGTGTGCGACTATACTTAAAAAATGTTTGAAATTTTTATCATACATTCTTTATAGGTCCTTAATAACAAAAAAATGAAAAAAAAATTGTTTAATTATTTTTTGGACCTAGGTAGGTCAATTTTTAAAAAAAATTATCCAAAAACACATCATGTTCCCGACTCTGTAATTTAACCGCCGATAGTGGTATAGACATGAAACCTGCACAGTTAAAATTCTAATTAAGAGTGCTTTAACCACATTTTAAGAAAATAATTTTATTTTTATTTTTTAACCCTAGAAATTTTTAAATTTTTCAAAAACTTTTTTTAGGGTCAAAAAGTTAAAAATTAAAAATAAATATTTTGTTTATATAAAATTTAAGTTATGTTCTTATCATCTTTGAAACAATTAAGTTCTTTTTTGCTATTAATTTAGGACTTAACAGCAACCTCACCAATATCCCTACTAGACATACCGACTTTATAATAAATTATGCGCAGGATCGCCTCTGTACTTTTAAATTTAATTTCGAGACTGACTTAAAAAGTGTTTCAAATAACTGAACAAAAATGTTAGGGCCAATTTTACCAAGGATACATATAGTATTCACAAACAGTTACGTTTCAAAAAAATCCCACGTTTCCGATAGCTTTAGAATTAATTTAATTTACATGTTCAGAAAAATCATTATCTTCTGGTAATTACAAAACTCAAGTTACGGACTTTAATAAGACCGTGAACGTTAAGTTTGAAAATTATAAAGAATTATCACTGCGAGGCAGAATGAAAAATTATGTAAATTATGACTCGTTTAAATTAACACCCATAGTTTGACACCAAAGACTTGAATTATTTAAATCATGTGTAGTTTCACTATGAAATTATTAAAATTATAATATAATAAATACGTATTAGACTAAAAATTATAAATATTTAAAAAATGATTGTTTGTTACATTATTTACAATAATATATTTGTAAAAATGTATAATAAATTACCTGTAGTCATTACTAAAACAATAAATGACAAAACCACTATTCTGATAAGACTTTCTTTGAACGCCATCCTTAAAATCCGCTATTGCTCTGGGGAAAAAATTATACTTTGAAACGATATGGCTTCTACGGTTCGAGTGCGACTTAAAACGGTGTAACGTACTTTACAGTGAAATTCGCCACTGAAATATTATTTATTTAAAGAAACCGCGAAAACAATTTTATTATTTGTACCGACCAAACTTTTACGCGTAAACAAGTCGTGTCCTATTTTTTTGTATCCAAAAGCTGTTTACTTTATTGAGTACAGGGTGATTATACATGCAGATTACTATATTTTTCAGTACTTAAAACATTTTTAATCTTCATATCTTATACGTAATATAAGTATGCACTCGGAAAAGTTAGTACGATTCTACATAATATTAAAAAAAGCTAGTGTTCGGTGCTGCTTGTTTGAAATTCATGGTAATTTTTTTTTTCAATTTAAAGACACCCGTTATAAAGTTTTGTCGATGGCAGTCCTGCGAAGGCTGGAAGTCTATGCCGACGGTATAATTGGGGACTGCCAAAGCGGCTTTATGAGAGGGAAATCCACCACATACCCCATTTTTATTATCAGACAATTGTTAGAAGAGTACTATGAGTATGGTAGAGAAGTGCATCTTTGCTTTGTGGACTTTAAACAGGCGTACGACAGTATTATGAGAAAAAAATTATGGTCAGCACTGGAAGAATTTGGTATACCGACCAAATTACTCCAGCTAATAAAAGAGAGCAATACCGATACATACTGTAAAATAAAAGTTGCGAATAAACTGCCAGAAAGTTTAGAAGTTAGAGCTGACCTAGGACAGGGAGATGCGCTTTCCCCTGTACTTTTCAATCTGGCGTTAGAAAAAGTAATTAGATCTCTCCCCGTTAGATAAATGATGGAAATTCTGGAAAGAAGAAGGAGAAGAATATCAAATAAAATGTCTAGAAGTTAGACTTGGTTAATAACCAAGTGTCGGGCTTCAGTGTTTGAAGTTTAATCGCTAGAAGTACACGCGGCATGAAACATTAAAGGTATATAATATGCGCAAGTGCTTAAGGTGTGGTGGTATATCAAAGTATGAGTATTATAAGTCCAGGGTGTAAAACTGAAATAATTACAATAGCATAACATGTGTAATGTATTATGTTATTGAAATAAATTACCTAGGTAATATAGTATAGTTGTTTCTTTTTAGGGAGGAATGAACAAATACAATTTTTTTGTCAATAATGTATAAAAATTTAAAGCACACAATGTAGCTCGAGGAGTAAACAATTAAACATTTTAAGATATTTTTGATCGAAATATATTATTATTTTAATAATAATTAAACTATTAAAATGTATTCATACATTAATTTTTTTTTATAGATAACTAAATATTTGTTTACAAAATATTTTAAAATAAAAAACAGAATTGCATACATTATAAGTATTTATTTATAAGAAATAAACCATATATAGACTGGTTAACTATGACCCTCATACAACGTTACATTATTACACTCACAATCTTGTTTGTCGTTCCGGGTGGAATCTTGCAACTCAAATTTCGAGCACTTCCCGATTAGCTATCCGGCTGAAACTTTCAGGATAGCTCACAATTCAATGACAATGCATTATTAATTTACAAGAGGTTGAAAATTCCACCCCTAAGGGGGTTAAAATGGGGTCGATTTCTTGTCCGTTGTTCCGGGTGGAATCTTGCAATTCAAAAAGACTTATTTCTCACCCGCCAGCTAAAAATTATGCGTGGTGCGTTTGGGCGTAAACGGTGCTCAGATATGAGCGGTACCAGGTTCAAACCCGTTCCCATCATTACATTTTTTGCATTTTCTTACAACTTTTATGATAATTTATATAGTAATTACAACTAAATTTTAACTTTTATGATATTTTATACAGTTATAAATCTAAAATTATAAGCTTTTAAATTGATTACTAATTCTTATGATAATCCTTCTGACCATGCAGCCTTTTCTATAACATGTTATAAACTTTTTATAACATTGTACATTTAAATATATAGATACGTACATACGAAAACGAAAAAGAACAAAATAACTAAAGTAGATTAAAAAATTAATCTAAAAATAACGTTGTAGCGTATACATTTATTACCCTATGTATAAATTTGTATTTCAAGTTGATATGGTTTTATTAGCAAATTGTAATATGTTTGTGTACACAACACAAACGCGAAATCAATTTTTATATCAAAATAATGATTCGATTGTACAAAAACTAAGTGCGGTCATAAAATATTTAAATGAATCATTTATTGTCAAATCGAAAACAACAAACTTGAGAAATGGACAGTTTAATTAAAAAAGTTGATAAAATATATACGTTACCGTTTAAGTTTAAACAATTGATAAAGCTCGAGAAAATACTAAAAAATATGAAAATTTGAATATTGTCTTATATTGTAATATAGCGTGATCTAAAATGTTTTCAAAAAGAAAAACTAAAAAATTGAAGCTATTTTAAGAACAAACTAGTGTGAGACGTTAAGAGAATCACCCGGTATAAATCATAGAAATGTTACGATAGGCGATGATAACATGATGATTGCACGATGATAACTCCGTTTTTATTTGATAAATCATAGAAAAAACAATAAATATCATGGACGTTTTGTTATAACTGTTCACAAAATGGCAGCCTCCTATTAGTTAGCCTTTTCATAAGCAGCCGACTTATAGTCCATTAGGCGTTCCATATATCATATTGAGTTCAATGTTTGGTCGCAAAAGATTTTAATACAAGCTCTTTTTTTAAATATTTTAATTCTACAAAATTGACGTGAACAAGTAAATTAATAGCATTTGTATTGGATCAATAAAATAAAACGACGTGTCTTTTGTCGCCGACGACGCCGAAGCATTATAATTGCCTACACGAGGTGCTGTGTTACAAACTTAATACATATGGCCCAACGAGAGTTTTACCTTCGCAACATTTCCTAGGGAAAATATTATTACTTACTATTAATTACTTGGGATCCTACAAAGCACTTTTTTGATATCTTTTTCTTACTATGAATAAGAAACGTTTGAACATTTTATAAAATTTCAAATTTTTAAATCAAACTTGTAAAGGGTTAAAATTCAAAATTGAAAAAAGTGCCTCTGAGATTATGCAAAATGTTGAAATGGGCTATAATAATAGAGGAGGAATCATACACACACTGTTATTGAACACAACTATAATAATAAATCGGGTGAAAATATAGTAACCAAGTTTGAAAACTTGTACTAATGCAAAACAAGATATTTTTAATTTGCCAGATAGTAGAAGTTTATTATGAATTCGTGAAATACATGTTTTTGGTTTAGTAATAGTTTGGGTTCACAATTTAATTTTTTGTATTTATATTTATTTTGAAGCTGTATTTATAACTGTATATTTCTGCAAATTGGATTGTTGTCATTGGATCCACTCTGTCAAAAAAAAAAAAATATATAAACTTTATTAATTCATAGCTTAAATAGAATTAATTTTTATAATGTTACCTATGTTAAAAAAAACAATGTAATTTAATTATGTTTTGTATTTTCATATGATCACGTTAACGTTTCTACGCCATTATCAACGCGGTCAAGGAATTTCCTTGGATTAAAATAATAATTTCCTTATTATAGAAAAGGGAAAGTGAATAAATTCTCTATTAATCACCAAATTAAGGCCCATTTTCACGATGAAAGGAAACGCGGTAGTTGCTGTCACAATAGTAGCTATTGCGATAGTGATGGTAAAACTCTCAACGTATAAACGTATCCACCATAGTCCCTAATGCACTATTATGAAAGTGCTATCACACTATCAAGAGCGACTCGATAGTACTATGGCAAGAGTACTCTCATTGTGTGAACGTGCCTTTAATAACGTTTTCTTTTTTATTAAAAACAAATTATCTTTTAAAAATAATTAACGACTACCTACATTTGCACACGCATAGACTGCGGAAACATGTTTAAGCATTTGTATCTTAGTCCTCTTTCGTCGGAGTAGGCCCTATACAGGACTTTTCTGCGGCAGCTGAAACAACTTTCAAGTAAACAAAGTATTAGGTATTATTAAAATATAACGAAGACTATAAATCAAAATTAATTGATGTAAAATTTAAAATAAGCACATAATGATGTATTTTAATCTAAGTTGCACAACTGCACTAACCTTTATGCCTAGTTACACAGGGTGAATTTTTTATAATGGGTCACTCAATATCTCATTGAGTTTAATTAATAATTGATTATTTTTTTCCATTGTGTTTTTATATAAAGTGATCTTAATTTCTCACAAATTATTATGTTCCTACTCTACTCCTGAACTAGTTTCTTTGATGGAAACTTTTGGAACATAAATATGTTTGAAACTTTTTAAATTTAGAAAATTCTACTAAAAATGTTGACTGGTCAATAACCAGTTTTGGGTAATTATTTTTGAAGTTTCAAGTTTAGGGCAGGAGGGAAGGTGCAGTGTATTATAATTTTTATCTGGGTGCACTTATCCTCCTGTCCTAACTTTTAAACTTTTATAACTGTAAAAATAGTTATCTAAAACTGGCTATCAACCAATCAAAAAAAGTTGTAAAAAATATTACATAATATAAAAAAACTATGAAAAAAAAATTCAATTATTTATTAAACTCAGTGAGATATTGAGTGGCTCATGATAAAAAATGTATCCTGTATAAGTTATTAATGATAACATCACATTAAATCAAATTAAAGTAGAGCTCTATCACATTTTCAAAACAGGTATCCGTTAAAAGCTGTTAATTAAAAGATAAATTAGCTTTAATCGTGAATATTTTTGATATCATAGTTCAATTGTGCTAACAAAATTTAATTAAACAAAGTAATAGGTGATGAGAAAACATACTTTTTCCTGCACGGCCTAAAAACAAAAAAACAAAAAGCATTTTTCATTTATTTGAGAACTTTTATTAACCAAACATTTTTAATAGTATATGTAAGAAAATAATAGCTTTAAGTATAACATTTTTTTACACGATTTTAAAACTGTTAGGAGGGTTATTATTCTAATTCTAGAAGAAGAATATGTAATATTCTTCTTCTAGAATTAGAATAATACCACCAGCAACACATGAGATGTGTTAACATCTCATGTGTTGCTGGTGGTTTTAACTTACACAGTTATAGAGAAATGGTTCGATGAAAAACACGGGAAAAAGAAGGACAATGACAAGATAAAGAACTGACTTAATGGTATAAAAAAAAAATAATTATATTTTAAATATATAATAAAGAACGTGTACATTAGGTAATTACTACTGCCTATACTTTACTTTGAGTACGGTTTAACGCCTTCTCTTTTGACGCATCTTTTGACTTCTCTTCACTTGACGATTTACCACCTAAACCTTGAGGTTATACAAATCAAATTAATGTTTTGCTAACTTTAAATTAATGTAAAAAGTCTTTAATTTTCTGTTATATAATATTGTTTTCAACAATGTTGAGTAATATGTATAGTTCTAAAGAATTAAATTAATTTTCAAAAATGTATTAAAATATATGTGTTAAGAAAAAGAACTGACTTAATGGTATACAAAAAAAAAAAATGATTCAATTAAAAAATAAATGTATTCAATAATCTATTCGCAATTATTAAGTACTTTTAATAGGACTAAAAATAAAATGTAAAATAAAAAATATTATTTTTACAACATGTATTTCTAAAAAATAGTAAAAAAGTAAAAAGTAAAAAATAACTTTACTATAAGAACAATTTACCAATCGGTTGTAACACCATTTGCTTTTAGATGTCAATTACTTTGAAAACAACGGATAATTAACTACAATTCTAAAAAAAAGTTAAACATCTTTAATTTTTGACTAAAAAGGAAAGCTTAATCTCTAATCAACAAACTCCAAATTCATTGATTTTTGTAGTATTATACAACTTGTTTAAATTGTCTTAACAATTTTCGATTATAGAACTATTAACAATCCACATTTCAAAATAAATGAACAAGAGATTTAGGACGTCTAATTTAAGTTAGCTATAACCGTGATTATTTTTGGTACCACAGTTCAATTGTGCAAACAAAATTTAATGAAACAAAGTAATAGGTTATTAGAAAACATACCGAATTTGAATGTTGAACACCCAACGTCTAATACACAAAAAAATTTTAATTTATTTGAGAACATATTGTTAAACAACAAAACATTTTTAATAGTAAATATGTAAGAAAATAATCGATTTTAAATATAACATTTTTTACACGGCTAACATTTTCTACAAAAAAAATAATTACATTTTAAAAATATAATAAGGAATGTGTACATTAGGTAACTACTAACTCTACTGTTCATACCTACTACAACAGAATGTTTTAACTTCTTATCAGCACCTATAATCCAATAAAATATATATATCAAATTAATGTTTCCTAACTTTAAATTGACATAATAGTATTTAAAAACATAAAAATTAAATGAGTTTAATTAGAAATCATGTTTTATACAATTTTTTAATACTCTGGTGCAGCATTTACATAAAATAAATAAATCTTTATTGACATTTTTTAGACTTATCTGGCCTAGAATCATTTTCATCTACGATTTTTTTTAAATATTAACCTTTGAAAATTTATTAAAATGTCCACATTTTATATTTTTTGTTAGGAAACCAACAGGTTATAAAAATCAAATTATTGTTTTGCTAACTTTGAATGAATGTAAAAAATCTTTAATTTTCTGTTATATAATATTGTTTTCAACAATGTAGAGTAATATTTAAAGAATTAAATTTATTTTCATAAATTTCTTAAAATAAATGTAACAAGCTATTAATTAGTTTTCTCTGAGGTAGTCAAATTATCCATTATTGCTTCAATAACTGTAGTAAGGACTAATACTGGCTGCTTGTTTAGAAATATTGTCATTTTAAAATGGTATACATATAAATAAGCACGGAGAGTAATAAAAACAGATATGTATATATATGGCCCAAAACGCAAAATATGAACGATCTTTCAGGCCTCGTGAAATATTTTGAAATTTACCATGCATGTCTGTTTTAATGAAAAGAATATTTTAATTTTGTATTTTCAATTATTTTAGCCATAGTCGTGTAAAGTATTTTAAGTTTTTTTTGTTTACTTTGTATTTATCATTCTTGTATAGTATCTACTGCCATAAATATAAAACTATTAAAAAAAGGTGTCTTATGTAAAATTATCTAAGCTTTCTGAAAGAATATAGATTTTTTTTTTGAGAAACAGAATGTTAATAATTGAGTTTATAATTTTAATAAAAACAAAAAAGTACATTAACTTTAAACATAATTATTTCAACTATTTTGATTACTGTGATTTTTTTTTCAATTGCACTATGCAGCTTTCTAAAAAAGATGAGAAAATTTCTCAAATATTGGGCAACACGGAAAAATTAAACTTTTTAGATTATAAACTTAATTAAATGACTTTCTGTTACTCGAAAAGATCCATTATTTTCCAAAAGAAACTAATTTTTAACAAATATTTCTTATTTCCGAAGATACTATAAAAAAATGATTAAAAAAAAAGAGTAAAGGAAAAAACTAAAAATATGAAAACCAATTTATATGATAAGAACCAGAATAAAAGAAAAATAATTGATTTACTGTCGAAAAACATTCTTATTGTCGGAACACACATGGAGGTTGAATTTGGAAAAGTACCGCGGGGGAGTGCTCCAAAAGGTCGATCGTACTTGGTGTTTTGACCCATTTATTTTTAAGAAACAACGTAAATTTACTTAGCAACTTTTTTGTGTCCTCATTTTTCTCACCTAACCAACAGATAACACAAATAAAATAACTGTTTACTAACAAAAAAATGACATGATTTTGTATAGAAACATTACAATTGAGTAGATATCCATATTTACACATATTAGTACTGTCCTGGACGCAGTTTTTTTATTATAAAATTATTATTTTTATCAAATATTTTGTTTAATATTCGTACCGTGTAAATACTCCAAAAACAAATGTATAATAAAAGTAATCTTTAAGATACTGGTGTCTACTTTTAAGTCAATATTTTTACACGGTCATATTATACAATAAACCAGTAAATATATACAAGATTAGTAGAAAACGTGTATAAAAACGTATGAAAAATGTGTAGCTATTTATAATTTATAAAACATACTTGGAAATGGTCGACCTTGTGTGACTAAAATATA